TTAAATCATTAGTATAAGTTTAAATGAATCTAATGAAAGTTTATGCCTAAGTCGACCTAGCATCTCATACTCATTAGGAGCCTCACTAGTAAAATTGCCCACTTCACTAATGAACCAAGACTCGTTAAGGAGAGGAGGTCACTTAGATTGTATTCATTACGGTTCAAATGTAAGTCAATGCCGGTAATATCTATGACCTATCTAGATCCTAAGTCGGGGGTGTTACAAATGGTGTCATGCCCATGACATATAATTGGCAAACCACTAATGGCCTCATGTCCACAATACATGATTGGTGAGTTATTAATAGCCTTATGCCCACGACCCATGATTGGCAAACCACCAATGGCCTCATACCTATGACACATGATTAGTGAGTCATTAATAGCCTTATGCCTATAACACACGATTGGTAAGCCATTAATGGCACCATGCCTTCGACACGATTAGTGAGCTACTAATGGCTTCATGTTCATGACGCAAATTGGTAAACCACTAATGGCCTCATGCCCATAACACATAATTGACGAGCCACTAATGGCCTCATACCTACAAAACATGATTAGCTAGCCACTAATGGCATTAGGCTTACGACATATGATTGTTTTATCACATATATCTATATCATATTTAGTCATGCAAAACATAGGGTCAACCTCCGAGGTTAACACTAATTAGTTCATCGAATACACACATATGAGATTTATGCATCACATTCTTTCATATAAAACACAACATCAACCTTCATAATTGACATATATTACTTCATAACATACACTCACACATCATATGTACACATCGCATTCATTCATGGGAAATATGGAGTCAAACTTTAAGGTCGCCACTAATTTTTTTGTCACATTCATACACATTGTGGTTACACTTTATTCGTTCATGTAGAACATAACATCAACCTTCTAGGTTGACACCGATTACCTCATCACACACACACACACACATATCATATCTACACATCACAATCATGAAAGACATGGGGCCAACCTTCAAGGTTGACACTTAATATTTCATCATATACACACACACACACATATCCGTGTTTATGTCTCATTTTTTCATACGTAACATGACATCATTCCTCAAGGCCGACATCGAGATCTCATCATATACACACACATATTGTATTTACATATTACATTTAATAAGCTATACTACATACAAAACATAGCATGAGACATCACACTTAACTTATCACATCACACAAGCAATATAATATGCTCGACTTGCACACACTAGGATCGAAATTTGCCTAGTTAAACCATTGGAATTAAAACTCATACCCAAGTGCTTCCAGTCTATCATAGAGCATTGGCATCAATCTTATTTTTTCTTAAAAATACCCGAAGTCTAAGAACCTTTCAAATTCGATGAGCAACGACATATCTTAATCACACTTTGAATATCACATTTAATCTAATAAATATCATATTTGTTCACGACATCCATCTATTTACATTTGAACTTAATGAAAATATAAAAGCAATGAAAATGTGTCAAAAACTTACTTGATCGATCAAAATTACTTAGGTGTTTCCCTAGAAACATCAAAAATGCCTTTTTAGGCCAAATGATGAATCTACATTTTTGTAGAAATTAGAATCCAAAATTCATGGGAATTGTTCTTAAATACTCCAACAAGTTTTAATGAGTGGGGAAGAGATAGTGTGACTTTCTTTAACTCTTCAATGAAGACAAGTGATGTTGTCAATCAAAGAGGGGAGGTTAATACCCACTACTCGAGATCTTCCTCTTTCTCTCTTCTTTTGCTTACTCTATCACTTTCTTCAATCTTTCAATAAAAACAAAAAAAATATTGTCGATCAAAAAGGGAAGGTTGGAAACAATAAATTAAAAACCTCTTCTTCTTTTTCTTCTTCTTTGTTTATTTCTATCAAATATGGATTAAGGCTTTAAAGTGGATTTTAGGGCAAGCCCACTAACCATTACTCAAAATTATCACCATCCTTCTTTTATTGAGATTTGGACTTAGGGTTTCAAAAATGATTTTAGGTGCTTAATGAAGTTTTGATAGAGAGAGAGTTTTGGGGTTTGGAGGAGATAGGTTTTTGAGGTTTTTAGGGGTTGTTCGCCGATAGCTTTAGAGGGTTGGACGAGTAATGGTGGTCATCGGGTTTGGTCTTGAAAGGGCTCGTGACTAGCGATAGCAAGCGGAGCTATTAAATGGGGCTATTATGATTGCAATAAAGGTCGTTAGAGGGGTTGTATTGGTGGCAACGAGGGGTTAGGTAGTAGCAGTTAGAGCTAGCGAGATCTTGGGGATGTTATGACAGCTTAGAAGCTACTAGCATGAGGCTAGAGCTAGCGACTATTTTGGGTTGCCATTGGTCGTGGGTTAGGGATGTTTGGGATGCTGAATGGAAAAAATGGAAAGGATGTCTAGATGCGGTGGCTATTGGTGAGTTTCGGGGATTTTAGGAATTTTTGGTTAGCGACAATAGGACTAGGAAAGGGTTGTTTGGGAGGTGGTGATTTGGGGCCAAGATGGTGGGTATTATGGTTGTGGCTATAAAGTTTTTATGGAGTTGATGACGGTGGCTTATGGAGGGAGTGTTTGTTCTCAAGGTTTTTGTATGAAAGAAATGGCCATCTCCCTAGGTTGAAGAAAAGGAGAAAAATGGCCACCCTTCCTTTAGGGAGGGGGAGATGTTTTTATAATGGGGTTTTAGATTTTTTGGAAAAAAAAAAAACCATTTAGCCTTTCCTCTTTTCTCAATTTAAGACTCTATCTCTTTATTTTCTCTTTAGACATACTTCAATTGGAATTCTTTTCAATTAGGCCTCTATTTTTATTTTATTTTTATCCTAATCTCTCATGTTTTTTGAATTAGACTCAAATTCCAATCTTTTCTATTTATCTCCTTTTTTTCCTTTTGTCCTTTTTATTATTTTTTGCAAAAAAATAAAATCATGAAAAATTGAACTAAAAATTAGGTGCTAATAGCTAATGTAACAAAAAAAATAATGAAAGGATTAAGTTATTAATAAATTAAAGCATAGTAAACTAAATTATTAGTTTTTAAATGAAAAGGATGAACTAACTTGTTTCTTGAAACGAGAGGGAGTAATTTATTATTCACCCTATTTAATACCAACAAGAAGAGTTAGGGGGAAAATTAGGGCATATTTGTTAGAGAGGATATTATGGGAAAAATTATGTCAATTTTATTTATTTATTTCGATTTCCTCCTAATTTGAATAGAGAAGTTATGTGCATTGAAAAGGAAAGTCAAATTTAATTTTCTTCCTTTTTCTTCCCATTTTTTAGCATCCAAATAAAGAATTTCTTCAAAAACACTTTTTAGTGTTTGGTGATGACTTTTTGGAAAATAAGTTAATAGAAAGTGTTTTCCAGCTAAAGGAAAATATAAGGTTCTAAGAGATGAAAATGTTGAGAAATTTTAAGTTATTCAAATAGTAAGTTTCAATATTTATTCTATCAAAGACACAAAGAGATCCTCTTTTAAACTTGGGAAAATATTTTTCATTTTGCATACCATATGTCAACATTATTACTATCATTGTATTTTGATGTTTTAAATTATTTTTAATTTTTTTGCTCATCAATTTGTTATTTTTTCTTTCTATAATCTTGCCCTCATTTTTATTTTTTATTTTTTTAAATATTCAACTTGCAACGTTAATTATAAAATAAATAATAATTCATTCATATTTCATTTCAAGTTTTGAAATATTTATATTTCAAATGATGAATAATTTTCATTTTAAATGTTACTTGTAAATTTTTGTAATTCATTTTCATGTTACACCAAAAAAAACAAAAAAAAACAAAAAAACAAAAAAACAATTCCAACTCATTTTTCATTGCACAGACAAATATAATTAAATAATTATTTTCTTAGAATTTATTTTTCAATGAATAAATGAGGCTTAAAAAAAAAGTTGATAACTAAAAAATTCTATTATTTTAAAAAAATTAATAACTCAAAAATGTTATTTTCATACTCATTTTTTATCACACGCCAAACCTCAGAATATGATTTTAGCTAATTTTTCATGATACAGCCAAACATCAAAAATAATTCGTTTTCTCAAAAATAATTTTTCATGAAATTCACTCTCCAAAATGGATTTACTTTCCGACAAGAATTCTTAGTTTCCTTTCATTTACTCATTTATATTCCTTTCCGTCAAAACATACACTGAGAATGTTTAACATCACTCCTACATATGTTGAAAATAAGAGTATTCATAACCTTGCTAAATCGCCATATCTTTTAAAACTTCTTTTGAGAGTAGATCATATCTTTTAGTTAAGGAATGACTTATGTACTGGAATATACATATCCTAGTACCTCAATCCATTCCTTAAATAAGAAATTATTATATTTTAGAGATGAAGAGGACAAATTGAGGTTTTTCTTTTTTTTTTTTTAAATCATAGAAATGAAAAGGACAAATTATTATATTTTAGAAATGATTGAACCTTGCCCACGGTCAATGATAGGCAATCAAGAACTTAATAACTAACAGAATAAGTGAATACTTAGCAAGACAAGAAAAAACTAGTCAATTATTTATAACTATAAAGATGCATGACTACTCTAATCTTGTAATGAGATTTTTTTAAACTCAAATACTCAATAACAAAAAAAATTGAATTTGTAACCTCTTACAAATACAAAAGCTCCCTACCATTACACCATATACCTATTGGTAGGGCAAAATGAGATTGAGTCCTTTCTTTTTAAAAAATAAAATAAAATTATCACCCTTGACCTCAAAATTTGATCCTGTATATTTAAAATGCGCATCCCCAAAGGGCTAAAAAACTACCAAGTTTCTACCCTGACTATTACACAGGCAGAAAAATTGCCATTTCTGCAAGAATGGCCGCAAAAAAAGAATGAATGTGACATTTAAACTACATAAATTGGAAAGATCGAAAGATATGAACAAGTAGGGATACTGCATTTACCACCCAGAAAGTAAACCACACGCAACTATGTGAATAGAGTTACAACATCTCTACGGTATCCTCTTACCATCAAAAGCCTTGGCACATTCTCGACTAACAGATCCATGTACTCCATGTAAAAGTAAGCTGGGTTGTTTACTGGAGGCGGGGGTAGACTCACCAGCACAACAGCTGCCATTCTTGAGTATCTCAATATCGTTGAATTTAGCTTCAGGGTTGTGTAAAGAAACTTCTCTACCTGTTGTTCATTCACAACTACTGGTTTCCCATCAGCCATCAGCTTATCCCCATCCCACTGACCTGACCTCTTCATCTCAGCTAAGTAACCAGCAATGCGCTGCTTAGCAGCCGTAAGTGATTCCAACCATTCATCTTGTTGAGATCCACCCTCTATTTGCACATCCCAGGATTTCATAGATATTACAATCACTTCAGCCTGCATCCGAAGATCATATAGAAACTTCTTCACGTCAGCTTTGAGTTCTTCTGCATCTGAATCCTCCTCTGCAATGCAGAAGACCTGAATCTTACAATTCTCAAAACTCTTCTTTGTTCGTAGGAGCTGGGAAAGAAGAAGCATTAGACCACCATCTCTTACAATCCAATACAAGTCAATGGTTCCATACTGCATTTGATACTCATTGGGCCACTCATCAAGACCCTTGACAATAACAACTGCTTTGTTCGCAACAATGCAGTCATTGATTATTCCAACAAAGGTGACTGGTATTTCTTTTAGATTTTCGCGACGCCAGATTTCAGGATACCGCATCACCACAATGTTGGGCTTCAGATTGCCAAGACCCATAGTCTGGACAATTCCACGAAAACCTTCAGACATATTGGGGGCTACAACTATCTCTGCGACACCTTCACAACGCTTGTAATCAATGTAGGTACTTAGTTGCTTACAGGCTGCCTTAGCATCTTCAGCATGTTCGTGGTAGTCTCCATCTAGTATAGAGACAAATATGGACATCCCACGGCCTTTCTTCTTCATGCAGTTTGCAAAGTCAGCAAGCTTGGGATGGCAGGGAACATTTTCAGGCAGCTTTCCCCATGGCCGGCAGAATATAAGGGGGATTGGATACCAATTCTTTGGATGCACTTGGTTAGCTGTAAATGATAATGAGATATGTCAACCACAATGATAAGGCAAGCATGCACACAAATAGGTAATGACATAAAAAAGAAAGAAATATATACATGTGTGTTTGTATGTATGAATATACACACACACATATATGGAGCCAGCTAAAAACACAATAAACTAACTCGCATGCAAGATGTTGCTAGAGGCAACACCGATGTTCATAGCAAATTTCCATAATAGGCCATAAAAAACCAGATAGCACAAAATGCATTCAGTATTCACCAGAAAGATGCAACGACTCAAAAACTCTAAAAGTTGTCATATAGGGAATTTTGGACAGATATCTACCTCCCAGTGATCGAAGACTGCGGAGAGCTAGCTGAAAATATGCACTCTTGAAGCCATCACCCCAGTCCCCAGCCTTTCCTTTAAGGCTGACATAATAATATATGAGGCTTGCTAGTGCCAGAGACACAACAGTGAATGACCAAGAAATCAAGAACATGATAACTGCAGCAAATCAGACAGCAGGTAAGATCCTGAAACAAACACAAAGAACTTGCAAGCATGCAAATACAAAAGGGTATTGAAGGTATAAAAGCACATGCCTGTGCAGAAATTAGGCATGCAAATTAGTTTGTAAGCATCAAGCTAGTCTGTGTCCCACAGTTATAGTACATCATGATGATCTTTACCCAAAGAGTGTTTGCTTCAAATTCCCAATTAGACTAAGGCTAGCAAGTACAAATATGAAAATAAACTTGGCATAACTGATCCCATTTGAAAAGGAACGCAACCAAATGGGAATAAACTATTAAAGACTCAACACACTAATTCCTAGACTTTATACCAAGTATCAAAATGACCAAAATACTCTTGTTTTGCAGGACTGTTAAAAATACAAGTTTGCCCCTGCTTACAAAATAATCCATGATTCAAAAAGCTTTGAAGTCCAAACCATGAAATCTACCATAGACATTTATTCTTAGACAAAGACAACTTGTTGCTTGATGAAAGAACATTTAATGTAGCATTGAGTTTCCAAAGAGGAAAGTTCTTCTTCAAGTATTAACATGGCAAGTCCATCAATATCAAGTTGAGGTTCAAGTGTTCATGTATGGGTATCACCTTAAGCGATCCACTATTTACAGGCATGGGCATGACCATCGCATACTATAATGATGAGCATAATATTTCAGCAAATATCTCACTTAATTTAGTGCACCCAAAACCAGAGGCAGAACCAGAAATTTAGGACTGGGGGCAAATAGGAAAATAATTGATTTTTGAGGGTGCAAAACATGTAAAGTTGAAGGGTACAATTAAAAACTTTCAAAATTTTAAGACTAAAATGTAAATTTTTTTAAGTTTGAGGGCAACATGGCCTCCCTGTGAATCAACGTAGTTCTGCCCCTGCCCAAGCATTCATGATTTTGACAAACAAAGCCCAAAGCATGGATTGAGGTTGAGATTGAGGTTCATTTATATGCCCATAAACCCAAAGCAATCCATTTTTAATACACATGAGCATTAACCTCACAAACTACAATGATTAGCATAATGCTCCAGAAAATGTAACTGGATTTAATGCAGCCAAAGCATTCAAGCTTTTAACAAAAAAAAAAAAAAAAAAGGCAAAAGCTTGTAACAGAAATCTTTCTGCATTTTCCACGTAGTGGAAAGGACATCACATTTTCAAAAGTGTCCCATGAGAGTATTAATGTCAGGCTGGCAACAAGGACATTAATGCACATTTGTTCTTTTGGGATATAATTAAGAACTCATAAAGGAGAAGCTATAAGGTGTAGCAAGACCAAAGTCCTCCATTGCTAAGGCCACTATTGGCCCTAAATAATAATTTAAAAAAAAAAAACTCCCTCTATCCTAAAGAGATTGTCTTTCTTTCTATTTTTGTTTGTCCCAAAATGATTGCTAGATCAAAATATTTAAGTCATATTTTACTACAATACCCCTAATTAAAGCTCATTTGGAAGGGACCTACAATTAAAAAGGGGGCATTTTTGAAAAGTACGGAGAAAAAATAATGACATGGCATATCAATTAATGACATTCTTAATGTGTGAATAGTCAAACACAGAACATCTTTTCGGGACAGATGGAGTACATGATTCTTTTTTTAAAAGAGAAAAGGAAGAGGCATACCTATGCACAGCGATGCACCAAGAAGAGAAAGGCTCCAATGGTGAATTTTCCACCGTGGCCGCCAGCTGGGAGCATCTAGAAGATCCAGAAGGAAGCAAGACAAGTTCACACCCGAATAACACAAAAGGAAAAACATAGTTACAGTTGGGGTGATAAGATCTAAATTCCCAATAACGACACACCCAATACAGACAAATGCAGTAAAGAGAGTAGCAATGTAAGGCTCATGTCCATCTGCAACTTTGAAATAGTTAAGAATAGGCAGAATGTCATCATTGGCTATGGCTGCAAGCAGGCGTGGGGCACCTGTCATGCTTTGAAGAGCAGCACCCAAGGTTGAAAGAATGATACCAATGTAGATGATGGCAGGGAAAGGCCAGGCAATTGTAGCAGTAAGTAGCCTGCATATAAAGTACAGTTCAGCAGTAAAACAGAAATAGTGGAGACTTTTTTGTAGTCCAATTTCTACAACTCAAACCAGCATATTGCCTATGTATATTCATCAGTGAGAAGGAGCAAACTAAGCATGTAAACTAACCCCTTGGACTGGCTATGAAAACCACCACCGGATTTCGAAGTAGCACAATAAATTAAAGAATTTCACCCAATTGCAAGCATTGAACATGATGCATAAACATTATTCAAAACAAATGGGAGGCAATAAAGAACTGGGATGAAAGTATCACCAAATGAAGGAAAAAGGTATTACAAGTTTTACACTCATTGATACGTAGATACTATTAAAAGTGAACAAGATGAACCAACTGTGACTTTCTAATAAAACTATTGAAGACCCAGACTACTTGACCTACTTCGAAGGCATTGAGGAATCCCAAACCATGACCATGCATCCTCACACCATATCTTTCTTTTTCTAGCATGACAAGACATAATCCATGCATCAGTATGATTCAAAGTTGTTGAAATTTTTTAATTACAAACATGAACTTTTTTTTCATACAATCATTAAATCGAAGCAATCTTTTACAATTTTTATTAATCATACAAGTATAGGATAAAAAAGTGAATTATAATGAAAGGTAATCTGCATTAAGATATTGGTAGCAACATCTTTCTCTAAATTTTTACAATAGCCCCAATTCTCTGAATGACTAAAGTTTTTAAACAGAGATTAATGCTACAGTAATATTATTTGAACAATCCGGTGATCAGTATGTACTTGTGACAAAAGCCTTAGAATTAAAATGTTTTAAGGGCAAAAATTGTCTATGTTCTATTGCAATACCACATTTCAGGTCTTTATTATCAATTTGTGTAATTTGAACTCCAAAATATTAGTTTTTGGACAAATCTTATGCGAATCGTATTTTCTCCGTTATTTGTAATGATCAACTCAGTTGACCGTCAATTTTTTTTTCCACTGTTAATTTAAAAAAAAACGTTAAAAATGTTTTTTCTTCATTTTTTAAGAGAGATTCTTTTTATTTAAAAATTTTCACATATTAATTCATTTGATTTTTCATAGTCAATCAAATTAATTTTATATATAATTTTTTTCAATTTCAAAAAATAACTTTTATATAGTATCATTATCTATTAAAACAATCAACTTCTATAATTAATAAAATACAAATATCTATTGATTGAATTTGATCAATTAAAATTATTAAATAATTAAGTTTAAATAAAACTTTTTTTTGTCATGCCGATAAATTTATTCTTGTGATTGTCAACCATTACATTTTAAATATAGCTGTATTTATTTAATATTTTTTATCTTCATATGTTTTATAGGATTTTGTATTCTCACAATTGATTCAAATATATAATACATATTTAAAATTGTTACAAGTTAGAAAATCATTTGTTTAAACTTTTCTAAATTTATTTTATTTTTATTTTAAAAAAATTGGTTCAAAAAGTGAAAGCTTTTTTCAAGGAGAACCCAAAAAAAAGTTCAGTGATAAATTTAATGAACCCTTTTTTTTTATTATTTATAGGTAAAATGGGTGAAAAAAAAATCTCTTGAAGAATGAAGGAAAAGCATTTTTAACATTTTTTTTAAATAAAAACGAAAAAAAAATTAACAATAGAAAGGAAAAAAATTAACAGTCAACTAGATTAACAGTTACGGATAATAAAGAAAATACGATTTAAATAAGATTTGTCAAAAACTAGTATTTTGGAGTTCAAATTACTCAAATTAATGACAAATGCCTAAAATTGCCAAATTGCAATAAAATTGGGAGCAATTTTTTTCGTTAAACCAAACTAAAATAGGACTAGTAAAACTTTCTAAATTTAACAGTTAAACCTAAGTTCAAACTAAAATAGGACTAGTAACACTTTGAACATCTAACAATTCATAGCATAAAGATGCAATCCAAGCTGGCTATAGGTGAAAGCCACTAAAGAAAATAAAAATGGAGAACACAATCCAAAATCCCGTGAGAAAACCCATCATAGAAATGAAGAAAAACTCTGCTAGTCGATGATATGATAAAAAGATAGTAGGTGACAACATAATTCCAGTAGATAGTTAAGTGATGATAAATTTCTGCAGATATGCTTTGCTAGCTATTGGTATATAACCTATAGGTGGCCTTGCAAATTCCCTATCACTTGTCTAAAGGTTGGACATGGGTAGGTACTAGAGAACAGGGAAGTTTGTGATACACAGTTTCAAGCAAATATTGAGAGATTCAATTCCATGGTTGAAGGAAAAAATGTAACATGTTGCAATAAGTATGAAGGCAACTTGTTTAGAAGGCCATGTAGATAGATACCTGTCTGTCAAGAGCGTCTCTCTAGTTGCAAGTGCTCCAAAGAAAAACACAGAAACTAGATATAGTACAGTAGTTGTAAGAGTAGCAGCCAATGTACCAATGGGAATTGAACGTTGTGTGTCTTTTAGTGATGCTGATCTATTAGAGCCCGCCATAATTCCAGTTACAGCAGGGAAAAATAGGCCAACCAATGCACTGAAAGAAGTTAAGGGGAAAAAAATTAGAAAAATCATAAAAAAGATTTCATCTCACCCCTATTTCAAGAAATGCATTTACATGCTTTAAAGGAACACTTTGTTGACACACAAGAATTTGTAGGCAATAGAAGTGTTCTTGGCAAGGATCAAAGATCTTGACAAAGTATTATCTAACAAAAACATGAAAACTATGAAAATTCAATTTCATTCAATACCCATTACGAAGATAAATAACTGAAATGCTTCATAGCTATACATGATTGTATAACGTGAAGCAGTTCCAAGGATGGTAATTGAAAAGAGAGTAGTGTGCGCTCCCTGGGAGGGTGAAGCGTAAAAGCAAAGTTTATCGAGCTCAAAGTTAATTCTAGGAACTTGCAAATCCATTCTCTAGGGCAACTAAGATGATATAAATTAGACAAAAAAAGATATTCTAATTGGCAACTGCTGGACCACTAGATGTTGTTCATTGTTCTTTCTCTCGTGATTGCATACACTTTGTGTCGTTATTTCAACATGGAAAAAAAAAAAAACCCAGCGTAAAGTAGAAGAATCAATTCTACCAGCTTCTGGTTCATGGGTATAGAACTCCAAATTTGGTTTTCTATTCTATATTCCTTGATCTGTATAAGGAACAATCATATTTCTATCCAAACAACAAACAAAAAATCATCCATTCAAATTCAATTGCAAGTGTTCCCAACAGAAAGCAAAGTTCAGATTGCAAAACTATAGGAAAAAAAACATCTTCCAGCAACTTTATTCAAAAGTTCGAAATTGCTCTGTACCAGAGATTGTTCCATTAACGACTTTACGTTATTAACTTCAACAATAAAAAGGGATATTTCACTTAATAATATTGCAATCAGATCCATTTACGTTTTATTAACTTCAACAACCAACCAATACTAATGAGATTGAAAATACTTGTCCTGGCTTACTTGAAATTCCAGTAGACCTTTCCTTCAGGATCAGGTATTCCAGCATTATTAGTAAATTGATAATCTGAACTCCAGTTTTCTTTAAAACTTTCCAAACTCAAGCCCGTGATTCCATCTGTTACAACCATGGAAAGAGAAGCAATTGATTTTATTCCTCCACCAACCAATATGAAAGAACAAGGAACAAGAATAAAAGCAAGGCCATGAAAACATCATGCACACAAACATGTACAACTAAAGTTGACAGTGATCATCATATAGGTTAAGGTTAAAAGTGAATCCTGATGCCCCGATCAAAGGGACTGTTTGCCTTGATAACTTAAATCAGCAATGTAACTTGGCTACACCATGCTTTATGCAGAGATGCAAGTGGAGAATCAAATTCCAAAGAGATACAAGGCAACCAACCTATAAAGGTATACCACTACTAAAGTTCAAACAATCCTGTTACAGTCAGAATGAATAGCTCACCAGTTATTGATCGACTAAATGTATCTAATAATAAAAATAACAAAGAAGACTCGGTAAACACTAAAAAGCTAGAAAAGTTCTAAGAGAAATAACAGTGCAAAAACCATAAAGCCATGACAAGAGGCTAGATGATAGCAATCTCCAACTTTTTGACAGTGCAGCACTAACCATTGTATAAAGATCCATTACAAACCAATGTATACAAGAAACAAAGATATGAAAATGAAAACCTCCTCGTCTTTGCAGAAATGGGTAAACCCCAAAAGACCAAGTAGGTTGATTAATGGAAACATTCCAAGTGAGTTAATCGATACTGTACAAACAAAGCCATCTACATTGATATTTCAGATGCACAATTGAACAAGGAAGATATGTTTTCAACTTCACAGACACTGGAAATCTCCATTAGGCAAGATGAAACTCGTTCCTCTCATGAAAACACAAAAAATACATCCAAAAGATGGACAGCCAAACGTTATGGAACATCCCAGTAAAACCAAACCCTTTAGTGAACCAAAAGTGCATTCTGGTAGTCACAGAGTTGATAACCAAAGCATTCAATTTCCTTTTTATGAGCACCAGGATTCATAGTGAGCTAGATAGTGAAGCTGTCAAGGTAGCAGGTCACTGGTTGAACTGGTAAATCAGATAAAACACAAAACTATATGTAAAATTATTAATACGTTTCTATAATTACTAACCATGGCTGGCAAAAGCCACTCATACAAATTAACCCTTAATAATTTTTTTTTTTTTTTTTTTTTTTTTTGCAATTAAGCCCCTGCATGTCAAACATTAAACTTGGTTAAACAAACAAAAGGGGTTGATGGTAAGGATCAAGTGGGTTTAAGCGGGTGTGGGTACCCATTTAAGAAATAAATGAGTCGCAAATGGGTAATGGGTAAAACATTACCCATACTCATTGTGATCTAACACATACCCACCCATTTGCCACTTCTATTACTAACTGAGAAAATATGTACATTTGTAACATGGCATATAATATTTTCAAATTCAATTTCACAAATTATTAAAAACATAAACACAGAATTATTGCTAAGTTGAAAAATACTTAGAAAACAATAGCTTAAACCAATTTAGCTCAAACACTTCAGGGAGAGAGACCAAGTCCTGATAAAAAGAAGAAAGATCTACATAAAACTTAACACTCACCGGCAGGGTAATCCTTCTTTGTCAAAAATACCCCAATAAATATGCAGAAAAGCGAGAACAAAACAGGAATGAGGAAAGCAGGTGCAACTCGATTGATCATCTTCACACCACCAAACACAATAAAGCATAGGACGATTGTCACAACAATTCCATAAATTTGCAGATCATGTGAACTTGGACTTTGTATGGGATGCTGAATCTCCGTACCATTAACTTTTGTTATAGTCTCTACAGAGAAAACATGAACAGCCAAAGATATAAATTACTAGTGTTCATTTTAACATCTTGAAATGATTACAGTTAGATTATTGCTACCATGTACCAATTATATATAATATCAGCAGAAATTCAGAAACTTTACCTCTGAATATCCCAGCAGCAGGAACAGCTTTTAAAAAGGTTTCTACAGCTCCCAATATATAACTAAAACAATGAGTAAAAGCAAATGAAAACAATGGATGTCAGCACAAATGCTTAGCATACATCAATAAGGCTATAAAGATAATAACTAATTGGAGCCTCAACTCCTAGAACCTTGAGGTCAAGGGCATCAACCGTACATATCATTGTGGCATCAGAAAAAAGACAAGATATACTCACAGAGCTCCAGCAACTGCATTCCCAAGAAAGAAACATAATCCAATACTCACTCCAATCTCTGGACCAAGGGCACGACCAATGAGATAATACGGTCCCCCACCCTATACGTAAGGTTCACACAACAAGTGAATTGCTTAATTCCAAAATTGAACTTCTCATCAGAAGATAACAACTATAAGAGAATGAATATGAGCAAAAGTCAGTTGTATTCATCAATCATAGTGCATCAAGGGTGACTGATTAAAGGATAATACTCACAGCACACCACTTCATGCAGTAAAGACTCATTTACAAGTGCAAACATAGCATTAAAAAAATCCAGGCACAGATCACCATACGAAATAATGATTTGGCATCAAGAATTGACCAGTCAATGGAAGATAGTTGGCTTAATTTCTTACTCTGCCTCAGGATGCTAATAACACAAAATATCAGTCATGCCTAAAAGAATTCAAAATATTAACTAAGTTACTGGTTAAAATGGTTATTAATTATTGTTTTTCCTAACCATAAAGAAAACTATCATAGAGTTCTGAAGGAACTAAGAATTAGAGAAACAAACACCAGCCTGTTATAAGAAACAAGCATGTCATTTGAGCACACTCGAATTAAATGCAAACAACATGCTTAACAAACTGTACCTCAAGAAGCATTGCTGATGCAGTCAACAAGAGATAAGCTTAGAAATTATTTTCATTTAGCAAACCGTAACTCAAGAAGTGTTGCTGAATCAGTCCACATACTAGACCATTGAAGGCTTCTATTTTAAACAGGTTTTGATAATATTTAGGAATATGATTCATTGAGGAGATTAGAATACTAATTAGGAGTTCTTTATTAAGTGTGCTTTCCTTTTTCTTATTTGGTTTTCTAATTACTATTTAGTTTTCTAACTATTAGCGCTTTGGTGCCTCTAAAAGAAGCGTATATTCTGCGTCAAAGGAAGAATTTAGATATGCAATTATGTATATTGTGAGGGCTGCAGCCTTTAGTGTTCTTCTCTTTTGTCTATGTGCTATTTTCTTCTTCTCTTTCTGATGGCTACAGTACGTCAGGTAATATTTACAGCCTTAATGAAAATCCTAATTCCTCTAGAACCCCAAATTCACATTTATCAAACCCTAACTCACCAAATCCTTTGTGGAACATGCTGCCAAAGTTGCCCTCCATCATTTGTTAAAAGTGCTAAGGGCATTAATGCATCAAGAGCTCTTGGAGCCTATCTGAAGGTGCAGGTGCGAGATTGAGAGAAGGCATGTATTTTTTTAATAGAATGGATGATAAGTTGCATGGAAAGATTTCTAGGACATAAAGAGAGGATATAAAAGTACAATAATAATCTATTTAGTGTATTAGCTCAAATGGTAGAGCAAAGGACAAAAAAATTGTCATGGACCTCACCTGAGGAAAAACTATTGTAGATAGAGGGGAAAGAAAGCAAGGGGAGAGAGAGAGTGGATAAATCAACAGAATAAATGGTGGAAAGATATATTTAGAAAGGAAACCTTTCCCAGAAAAAAAAAGTGTTTTCTTTTTGAGGAATGGCTTTGAGCCTTTGGACCCTCATGACCTTTAGATGAAGGTGCATCACCTAGTTAAATAAAAGCATTGACTTTAGCATTCCAGCCTTATGCCTCAAACATGCCCAAGGCATGCTTTTAACAAGTGCCTAAGGCGGTTTTAACAGCACTGATCCCAACAAAGCAGCAAAAATTCTTGAACTTTTCGCATATTTCTCAATTGGGGAAAACACAAAAAAGTATCCTTTTGTTTGGCCCATTTGCACTTGAATGACCAATTTTCAATTTTCAATTTTAAATTTGGATGCTAAGCTTGTGCTTTCCTCCATTAGCATTTTAAAGTCCTCCAACTTTTATAGTTATATTTTTTCTAATTAGTCCTAATCCTCTAATTTCTAACAATTGATTGCAATGTTTTCAAATGCTCTACCAAACACCTCTTACACATGAAAAGATCCCCAATTATGTACATAATCATGATTCATATATTTGAGTGTATTCGGGAAAAAAAAAAGGAACAGAATAGAACACATAAAAACAAGAAATAGATTACTTTTTATCATTATAAAAAACAAAACTATCCAAGACTAATGAAAACACAGCACAGTTGATAAAAAAACACTACATATTTAAGTTCGGTATTTTCATTCAACTTCATTTTGATTCAAGGATGCCATATAGAGTAAGATTACTAGATCAAATCCACTTTCCACAACCTAAAGACACAAGAGTCGAGGACTATGTCAGTTTGGCAAAGAGATAACAGAACATAAATTTGGTCCATTAAAGACTTAGGACTCAATTACATAAAAATAAAAAAAATAAAAAGTTGGAGGGCTTATAATGCAATTAGAACAGCAACTTAAATAGCCAAAGACAGATGCTAAAAGGGGGAACCACATGCCTCTGAAGTATCAAAATTTGAAGCTCGGTCATCAAGAAGCAAATTAGCAAAATCACAAGATAGTCCTTCACATTCTTCCCCTCCTCAATTTTAACTATCTCTTGAACAAACCAACTAAACTATGAATTTATCATTTTAACTTAAAACTACATGCCATTTCTATCTCAAATGTTATTCTGACGACTTTGATCAACATAAAGTGTTCCACACAGGGTTGTTCATTGTTTGATTACTCAAACCCTGACCTCAAATTGTGCACCAAACTGAATTTTCAATTCAATATTATTTTTGATACCTTCACAAACCTATACTGAACCAAATAAAACAATAGCGCTGGTTTTATTGTTAGACTTACCAATTAGTCTATTTATGTACTCCCTCTGATACAAAGAGTTTGCTCACCTGTCCATTTTGGGATGGCCTAAAATTGTTGTCCATTGTGAAAACATCAAAATATTAAATGTTAGATTTTTCCTATGACGCCCCTAATAGAAAACCTCTTTAATTCTTTTAATCCAACTACTTTCTCGCTTATTAACTTAGATCTAAATAAAACTTTCATTTGCTGTGTTCTTGAAATAGAATTCATGTGAATTTGGGAGTTATTGTCGTATGAATTTTAATGAAAATTATAAGAATAAATTGTACTCCTTATCTAGGCTATAGTGTTGTGAGTTATCCAAAAAAAAAAATCTTAGAAATTGTAGTGTAGATATTTTTTATAAAAAAATTCATTCTTTTTGGTGTTCAACAGACTTGAACCTTGTTTAACCAGTTCAAAAGCCTCTCACCAATAGCCCTATCCCAACAAGTTTATTAGTATTTGATTTTAAAACATAATAAAACGGTAATACAAAGTTATGTGAGAATAGATGACACGGCATCCAATTGCTCATTATTAATCTGTATGAAAAGTCAAAAGCAACTAAAACTTTGAGATAGAGAGTACATTATATATAATAAAAAAAAATTATGCTTTTTATTTGAAACATTTATAAATTGTGCACATAATTATATGAGAATGTCTAACAAAAAGGAATAATGTGGAATAACAAAAACTTATGGAAAAGAATCAAAGGGTTGATTACCTAGCATTTAGTTTGATTCGGTTCAAGTACCCACTAGTCACAAAGCATAAAACACGAACTAAATAACCTAAAATGGAAAAGAAGCATGTCTAACAAAAAGGAATAATGTGGAATAACAAAAAATTATGGAAAAGAATCAAAGGGTCGATTACCTAGCATTTAGTTTGACTCAGTTCAAGTACCCACTAGTCACAAAGCATAAACCACAAACTAAATAACCTAAAATGAAAAAGAACCGAATCAAACCAAACCTCCCAATTCGGTCAACCCATTTTCCAAATCAGTTTACTCAGTTCAGGTTTGGTTTGTTGATTCATTGGTTATTCTTAATACCCCTAGTACATTAAACATCGTTGCATGCGTATATATGAGGAAACTCATTTAGTTTTCACTAAATTGTTCAGAAATAATCATTGAACGAACCAAATGAATTAAAAATCAGTACAATACCATGCTTCTCTTGACCAAACAAGTATTAGACAACTTACATCAACTTTTGAGGAGGAAGCACACTTACGATGATCATGCAAATATCCAGTAGATATAATAGTACTACCAAAAACGTAAAACAAAAATGGTGAAAGCATAGAAGGACCAAAAGTATCAATTAAAACAGAATTCCTCTTTTAGTAAGATCCTGAGTAATTTATTAAAATATAACTACTGACAAGAACTAATTTATCAATCATCTTTTCACTCATGTCCCTAATATGCTCAATGTCAGAGCTAAAGAACAATCATTGAAAACATATCCCATATTCTCATTCAAAAAAGATTATTTAACATTTGGCAAGCCAGTAAGATGGTGTTAGAAAAGACCGTAAAAATAGTCTTGTAGATACGAGTCTCCAACAATACTTTGTCAAAAACATAAGTACAGATTTAATAATGTTGCAAGTACCTTCATTGCACCATTAGTTGCAATAGCACTCAGTGATATTCCCGTTAGGAAAGTACACAAACCACAAAATGCTACCAGCAGCAGAGATTCACCTATCCCAGCCATGCCAACAATCCTACAATTTTTACAAAAACAGAAAGCAATCAAACACTATTGTATAGTTAAGAAAGCCAAGGCATGAAACTAAAAGTGCATCATCAGCATCCAGTCAGTACTGAATAGATCAGATTAAATAATTAAACAGAAGTACTACCATCTATTTGTTCCAAATATTACAACAGAGAGAGAGAGAATGTACTCAACATTCAATCAGTACAAATACACTGAGATCAAATCATTAGATGGAAGTACTACCGCCAACTTGTTCCCAAGAAAAGAGAGATATAAGGGGAAGAAAGTACAAAAATTCTTCTCATTTGGTTAAATAACCCCATTCAGATGCCAGCTAATTGTCATCTCTTCTCTACCCTTTCCCTATCTTAAGCCCAAACCTTTACCAGTATCTAGCCAATTTCAATACTGAACATTCTGGATGTTTAAATTGTATACATAGTTGTGAACTTGGGTCTCTTAACAAATGTATCGCTTCCCACCCTTAACACCACCTGCCACATCCCCGTGAAAAAAAAAAATAAAGAAAGAAAGAAACAGCCCCAAAAAAGTAACAATGTATATTCACAGTTTATCTATTTAAAACTAATCGACAGATTTAAAAAAAAAAGAAAAAAGACAAAAACTGAAGGCTTTAGGAAAAACACTAATTATGTCACCAGCAAGCCCTCAATAAACCAAACCTGATCCCAATTTATTTTCCTTGACCTAAATGTTAAACTCAAGCTTGATTACAACCATAGCCATGTCCATACAGAATAGAAACCTCTAACAATCTAAATACAACACACAACTCATAAATGTCCATGTCGTAGGTATACTGAATATTACAATCAGCACCAGGTTCATGAGCGGATATCATAGGCCTTTATTCAATTGACAGTTGGACCACAACTTATAAAGAAGGAAGAAAAAAAAGTATATTATAAACTGAGAACATTTCAGAGCTCTTAATTTGTTATTACTTTTCAATAGCATTATTAGCACGTTCAATAAATGGGGAAAATTTTAAAAAAACGAAAAATAAGACATTAGCTGAATGATGAATTGCATATATTAAAAGGACTTTTCAACCATATTTCCCAAGGAAACATGGATGGTGCACGTAATTTATATAAAAATATAAAAAGAGCTGATTAACTACAGCATTTTGTGAAATTCAAAAATATCCAACTGGAATTCCTGCTAGATTTCTCCTTCAAATTTCAAAACTTGATTGCAATTGATTAAAAGCAAGACACATGTGAATTTCCATCTGCACAGGCCCTATAATCAATCAATCACACTAGAACAAAATGCAGGTGCAGATAAAAGAAAGCTAAAAGACAGCATCAATCAAGAGAGTTACCAAGAAAATCGAATATAGTAGATAATTCCGAGTATGTTTTGCAAGCATGGGACGAAAACACCCATCATTGTTCCCAGTTTAAGATCATTAGCCTGCATGATGCATGATGCGTAAAAAGCAAAAATCAAGAAATGAATGAGAAAATGAAGCGGTTAAAGAAAAACACATAAGTTATAGCAGTCCACTTCCAAGGCAATGAAAGGGAAGCAGAGCTAGAAATGAAAAACAAAAACAGTGAATGACATGATCTGTTCCATGGCGTTACAAGAAATTGGTAATAAAATGAAAGGAAGCAGTAGTAGGTAACATATACCCTTGGGCGATCTCGATCAAAAGAGATAGAACCATCTTCACCATCCCTGGGACTAGACGGTGCGGCAAGTTGTTCCCCTGTCATACTGGAAAAGCAAGTCAACAATAAAACCAAAAAAATGACAAATAATGCGATAGATAGATAGATAGATCTTAAAAGGAATCAAGTGGGTAGGTACCTCTTAAGACCAAGAATGTTGACAAGGGAATCAAAACCAAACAATTCCAATTTGTGCTCTCTTTCTGACCCATTATCATTATTATCATTTGCACTATCAGAATTCATTTTTGTTTCTGCCTGGGTGGAACTTACTATAATTTTCCTGCCAAGCCAATGAACAAGAGATTTCAATAATAATAATAATAACAATAATAATAATAATAATAATAATAATAAAGAGAGAATTTTCAATTTTTACTTGAGGTTAGGTTGGTGATTAGAGGAGGAGGATGAGGAGGCGGAAGATCCTGGAGGAACGGAAGACATCTCAAGGACGGCGGGATCGTGAGCCACCACAGGCCTGTATTTGCGACCACTCTGCTTCGCGTGGAATTCGTCCTCTAAACCACCACCACCTTCAATATCTCCGTTGTCCATTTCGCTTTCCAAGATCGATCTAATCTTTGGTCTGCGAGGATGTCTACTAACTATACCAGATACAGATCCAATTCCAAACTGAAACGATAGATCTCTCCAAAATGAATACAATACAATTCAAGAGAAAAAAAGAGAGAGAAAGAAACGTAAATATGAGACTCAAATTTGAATGAAAAGTCAAAAAATAAATAAAATAAAAGATGAGAAAGCCGGGTTTCTAAGTTGTGCTCTACATGGACTGGAGTACAAATCAAAATACGGGAAGACAGATTCGGAGCAAAAAAATAAAATAAAATAAAGGCTCTTTGGTTGCTAGAAATTAGATTATTGGAAAGCAATTGACTGTAAGTTTCCTTCCCGCTTTTAAAATAATTTCTTTTGTTGTAAGGATTAAGAGAAAAAAATTGGAATAAAAAATTAATGTACTTTTATTGTCGTGGCGAGGTAGGAACTAAAATACAATCCTATTCGGCTTTTGTTGCAATACCACTGTTTTATTCTGTTGTGCTTCGAGATCAAACTTTTTTAAATTATTTGGTTATGAATTATTATGTTTAAATGATAATATTTTGGATTAATCATTTCTATATAAGAGTTTTAAGATTGAATCTTCTAAGCAATTTGAGTTTATTTAACTACGAGTGATGATTTTTGTTTTCAAACCATTTTCTTTTATAAATTTTTTAATTTTTCTTAATAAATCCAAGTAAAATCTATTTTGTTGTCATGTGTCAATAAATTCTATTAAGGTCAGTATTTTTTTATTTTAGATGATTGAAAGAACTAAAACAAAAAGAAAACCTACATGAGGCATCCAAATAGATATAATAAAGAATTGGACACTTAAATAGAAAATTAATCAAAGAATAAGCACTTAAATTGCAATTTAAAAAAAAAATCAATTTTTTGTGAATTCATTCAAGTATAATCCACTTTTTATCATGTCATAATTCATTTTGAATACATTAGTATTTTTTTTAATCTCAAACCATTGGACACTTGAAAAAAAATCAAAACTTGAATATTTATATAAAATAATTTAACGATTAGGCATTCAAACAGAATAAAAATAAAAAATTGAGCTCTCAAATTACAATTTTCTACTGTGCTTAAAAACAAAACAGGTTAAAGCTAAAAAATAAAAATAAAAAACAATCAGCTAAACATGCTCGAATAATATATATATATACTTCACTAATCACATTTCAATTTTGAAAGCATTAAAAGGGTTGGTTCCATTTGTAACTTAGAACGTCCTTAATTATTATTATTATTATTATTATTATTATTATTTAGAGATTTATCACAAAAACAAATCAATGAATAAATGTCATATTATTTTTTAATTTTTTGTTAAATTCAATTTTGAAAGCATTAAAAGGGTTGGTTCCATTTGTAACTAAGAACGTCCTTAATTATTATTATTATTATTATTATTATTATTTAGAGATTTATCACAAAAACAAATCAATGAATAAATGTCATATTATTTTTTAATTTTTTGTTAAATTCAACATGCCATCTACTATCAATCTTAATCTTAGCAAAACAAGAGAGTGTTATCTATAAAACGAAATTACAATATTTGTTTGGCTTTTTTTCATTAAACAATGATATTTTTTTATTTTTAAAAATTTCAGATAGAGCAATAAAATTTCTCTATCTCATAGTAGAAATCGTAATTTTTAAAAACTTCAAGATGCAAAGTATAATGAATTATGCTATCATCCAATTTTTAATCTATTTATTTTACAAATTTTTCCACGAAAATAAAAATGTCAAAATTAAATATTTTTTTAATTCGCTTGATTTTATAAATTTTTACTTTTTTGTTAGAATTTTTCGAGAGTCCCATAATTTTTGTGAGTTTAGAAAAATTAACAAAAATAAACATAAAGAAAAAGAGAGAAAAAAGAAAAGAAAAATGAATAATTTGAAAAGAGTTGTCGTGGGTCCAATTGAAGATATGAGATATTAGAATCAAGGAAAATTATGTTCTCAATTCTGAAAAATGTCATTTTATGGTAAAACAAGAAATAGTTTTAGGACATGTAATTTCATCTAAGGGAATTGAGATTGATAAAACAAAGATAGACAATATGCAAAACTTACCTTGCCCCATTAATGTGCGGGAGATTCATTCTTTCCTTGGTCATGTAGGTTTTTACGGGAAGTTCGTCAAGGACTTCTCAAAATTTTTCTTACCCCTATGTCATTTGTTGTAAAAGGATGTACCATTTGAATTTAACGAAGAGTGCAAGGAAGCTTTTGACAAGTTAAAGGGTGAGGCAACTCTACTTGTTAAAATCTTAAGTAGGGTTTGTAAGAGTATGAATAGGAAAGTAAGGTTTTACTTTGATTCATTCATTGACGAGTAGCCATTAAGAAAAACCCAACCATTGTTACCCTAAATATGCAACTCTAAATATTCTTCTTGGTTGAAGTAAAAGTTGAAGCTTTGGTTAAATCATTGTGAGATCTAAATAGGTTCTATTTCTAATCTAATTCTTTTAGGGTATTTTATGTTTTTCATTATCATTGTATATGATTATGTTGATTGATTGATCTATGTAATCTATTGCTAGTTAAGAATTCAAGTCCAAAATTGCTTGTCTAATCTTACATGTGGTAGTAACTAGGGATTAATGATTATGGCCAAGTTTTTACTAAATTCCTTGAAGAACATAGAACTAGATTAAATTCTCATATCTTGTAGGAGAATTGTTTGGCTTCACCTATCTTTCTATTACTTAATACTATTATTTGACTAAATCTAGATAGCTCGTTCTAGGTTTTTTCAATAGTTAGAGATTAATTAAATATCTTGTTTTAATTAACAACTCATTAAGGAAAGATTAAGGTCAATAAAGCTCGTTGTTCTATAGTGAATTTTCATGAAAAGAATGGATTAATATTTAAATCAATTTGAACCAAAAGTAAAGATTATCCATTGACCAAGGCTTTTAATACTCTTGTTTACCTATTTATTTGATTTTGATTATCTTTATTATTCTTTACCAAAAAAAACTCTCTTTCTCTTTTCTTGTACTATGGAACAATCGAGCTATATAGAAAATTGATTGAATCGATTCTCTACGAGATCGACCCTTACTTACCCTAGCTATAGTTTTGAAAGAGGTCTAGCAAGGAAAAGAAATAAATAAATTTATGATAGTTCGACAAGCTATCGGCTTTCCACCTTACAATTAAAAAGCCAATCGGACGATGTTGGTATAATTTTATAGCCCATAATGAGTGATAACAATGAAATGAACAAATAGGCCAGTTTAAGAAAAACGATAAGTCTTGAACTTTAACATTTAGTGAAAGGAAAATCTAAGATAATTAAATATGCCTAAGCATATAAGCGCAACGAAAATTGATAGGATACATACCTCTTGCTATGATTGATTAAGTGCTTAAGATGTTCGTCGAAAGAAAATTGGAGCCATTAAGGAGAGAGAGCCTTCTATTTTATGGCAATACTTTAGGGTTTTATATGTTGACGAAAAACACAGGCTTTACTTACTATTTATATTTCTTTAACCTAATTTTGCACCTCCATCCATCATTAATGTGCCTAGCCCACCTCGAAAGTCCATTGGGCTCTAAGTCTTTAAATAGTCACTTATAGATTTAAAACAAAACATGACACATAGACCACACTATAGGAATATTTCTCACATTCTCCCACTTGGCCTATATGGCACTCCCAAAAATTATAATTTCTTGATAGAGTCCGGAATGATTAGTTAGCAAAAACACTAATACTTAAATTAAGAATACAATATATGAATCATAGTGATCATGCTTTATAACTAAGTATTTCCTTCCATTACAATATATTATATCCTTAAAACAAGCACTTAATGAGCAATAAAACTTTATGAAAAAACTTCCAATAAGTCATTCGAGTCCAACTTTATATATCAAAATGAATATAAAATTAATACTTTATGTGCATAAAAATCACAAGCAATCTCTAAAAACAACTTAAAAAATGTCTAGACAATCAATAAAAGAAAATGAAGTCAAATAATAAATGGGTTAGCTAGACCCATATGATTCACATGATCTTTATACTTGTTTTACCGATAGTGCTTTAATGATAGGATCTACAATCATTAACTCGGTGCTAATATGCTCAATGAGCACTTCATGTTCCTTCACTTTCTCTCTCACAATGAGATACTTTATGTCAATATGCTTATTTTGGCTTCCACTTTTATTATTCTTAGAGAAGAAAACCGTAGCCGCATTGTCACAATAAATCTTTACTTGTTCTTGATATGGAATCGATAATTTGTAAGGCGGAAATGAAGTTTCTTAACCAAACGACTTCGTGTTGTTGCTTCATAGCATGCAATGAATCCTACTTCCATACTAGACAAAGCAACAATAGTTTGTTTAGTGCTTCTCCAAGACACAACTTCTCCAACAGAAGAAAAATGTATCATGAAGTAGACTTTCTTATGTCAACACAATCAGCAAAATTCAAATCGAATAACCTAACCACCTTAAGGTGATTAGTATTTATGTAAGTCGATCTATAATTCTTGGTTCCATGTAGATATCTCATGACTTTCTTCACAGCTTTTCAGTGGTCCATTCTAGGATTGCTTTAGAACCTATTTAGCATTCCTATTGCAAAATGCCAAGTCGAGTCTTGTATGAACCTTTGCATACATCAAACTACTTACCGCGATGCATAAGAAATGTTACTCATCCGCTCATTTTTCAATGCATTTTTTAGACATTGATTCGATTGAATTCATCCCCTTTGACAATGGATGCTATTGAAGATGCACAATTTGACATCCCGAATCTTTTTAAGACTTTTTCAATATAGGCTTTTTAAGACAGTTCTAATATTCTATGAGATTTATCTCTATGAATCTTTATGTTAATGACATAAGAGGCTTCACATAAATCCTTCATATCAAAGTTTTGAGAAAGAAATTACTTAGTCTCATGAAACAACCCTAAGTCACTACATGCAAGTAAAATATCATCTATGTATAGGACAAGAAAAATATATCTACTTCCACTAACTTTAAGATATATACATTGATTAACACTGTTCTTAATAAAATCATATGAGATAATAACATTGTAAAACTTAATATATCACTATCGGGAGGCTTGCTTTAACCTATATATAGATCTTTTTAGCTTACAAACCAAGTGGCTATTTGTATTATCATAAAAACCTACAAGTTGATTCATGTATACCTCTTAATCAAAATTTCCATTTAAAAATGCTATTTTCATATCCATATGATGTAGCTCCAAGTCAAAATGAGCTACTAATGCCATTATTATTCCGAATGAATCCTTTTTAGAGATAGGAGAAAAAATCTCATGATAGTCTATGCCTTCTTTTTGGGTATAACCCTTAGCCACAAGTCTAGCTTTATATCATTCAATATTATCAAAAGAGTCTCTTTTGGTTTTATAAACCCATTTGTAGCGAATGGCTATAGATTCGTTTGGTAATTCGATGAGGTCCCAAACTTGATTTTTATGCATAAACTCTATTTCTTCCTTCATGGCATTATATCATAAATTAGAGTTTTCTCCATTCATGGCTTGTGAAAATGGGTTTGGATCATTCTTAAGTCCAACATCAAAGTCGGACTCTTTAAGGTATATAACATAGTCATTAGAAATTACCGATCTCCTTATTATTGAAGATCTTCTCAATTCAACATCTTCATGTGGGTTTATCTCATCAAGAGCTTGTTGCTCAAGAATTGATTGTTGTTCAATATTATTTAATTAATTTTCTTGAACAATAACCAATTGTCTTGTATCTTTATGCAATATAATTGAATCTTATGTTTTCTCAAATTTTATTCTTCGAGGAAAATCACTCCCCCTAAGGTTGAAATCTTCAAGAAATTTAGCATTTCTTACCTCAACTATTCTTATATTATGAGAATGACAATAAAACTTATATCCTTTAGAGTTTACTGCATAACCAATAAAATATCCACTCGGTTGTTCTAGAGTCTAATTTCTTTAACCGAGGATTATAAATCCTTACCTCAATAGAACAACCCTATACATGTGTATGATTTAAATTAGGTTTTCATCCATTCCATAATTCAAAAGGTGTCATAGAGATAGCCTTAAATGGAACTCTACTTAGAATATACACAACGAGGTTTTGGTGTTTCACTCCATAAGGATAATGGTAAATTAGAATTACTAATCATGTTTCTCACCATATCTATAAGAGTACGGTTCCTTCTTTCAGCTACACCATTTTGTTGTGGTGTGCCAAGCATTGTATATCATGCAATAATGCCCTTTCCTTCGAGGAACTTTGCAAATGGATCCGGCATTTATCCTTTTTCAATGTACCTACCATAATACTCTCCATCTCTATCAAACGTCACAATCTTAATGGTCTTTTCCTTTTGTTTCTCTACCTCAACCTTAAAGGTTTTAAAAGCATCAAGTGTTTCAGCCTTATCGTGTAAAATATAAAGATACATAAATCTAGAATGGTCATCAATGAATGAGATAAAATATCTCCGACCATTTAGGCAAGGAGTATTAAATGGTCCACATATGTTAGTGTGTATGATTTCTAAAATTTTTAAGCTCCTCGTGGCACCTTTAGTGGTCTTGTTAGTTTGTTTTCCTTTTATGCAATCCACACAAGTACCAAAATCAGTAAAATCAAGAGTATTTAAAACTTCATCATTCATCAATCTTTTAATTCTTTCAATAGAGATGTTACTTAATCTCATATGCCACAATGTGGAGGAATTCTCATCAATTTTACTCCTTTTAATACCTATATTAACATGCATTGATAAATAATTGAGCTAAAAAATGGGTTTAAATCAATATAAACCATCAATTAATGTTCCACCATTAATAGAAATTTTATTTTTTAAAATACTAGAAATGTTTTCATTAAACAAAAATCCATATCCAATACTACATAGTTTAAAAACTGAAGTCAAATTTCTAAAAAATGATGGAACATAAAAGACATTTTCCAAATCCAAAGTAAATTCGGATTTTAAAATTAATCTAAAGATCCCCAAAACTTCAACTTTAAAGCCCATCCGATTTCCTAAATAGATGCCTTCTTCATTTCCTTTTAGCTTCCTTTGGTCCAGAAAACCATGCATGGTATTCACAATATGGATTGTAGAATCAAAATCAATCCACTAGGTATTACTAGGAGTCTCAATAAAAAAAGATTCATGATACACTAAAGAGATGAGTTTACCTTTCTTTACAAGCCACTTTTGATGCTTAGGGCAATCTTTCTTGACATATCCTTATTTCTTACAAAAGAAACATTTACTATTATTGTCATTTTGCTTTATTGGCATATTTTCATGTTTCTTCACTTTTAGAATATTTTTATCCTTCTTGGAATTTCCTTAGCTTGAGAAACCAAATGAGCGCTTTTAGGTTTCTCAAGTTTCAATCTCCCTTCTTCTTGAACACACAAGGTCAATAATTCATTAATTGACTAGTTTTCCTTATGTGTTGTAAGAAATCTTAAACGGATCATATTCCACAAGTAGAGATTTCAAAATGAAACGCACCAAGAATGATTCAAAAATCTCTACCTTTAAGGACTTTAATTGAGCAATAGTGTCCCTCATTTCCATAATGTGCTCGCGCACACCTTTGGAATAGTCAAATGACTTGTCGAAAGCTTTCTCATTAAGGTGTTAGCTAATGCCTTATCGAATGAATAAATTATTCCTCTATGGCTTTCGGGAAATCTTTTGCCTTAGAGCATTCGGGGATTGAACCCCTAATACTCTTATTTATACGAGAATTTATAAGCATTAGACTTAAGCAATTAGATCCCTCCCATTGGTCATAATTAGTCTTTTCTTGTGAATCACTTGAATCCATGGAGATGAGTGGTTCATCCACACTTAAGGCCAAATCCAAATCCACACACCCCAATGCAAAAAGAATATTTTCTTTTCAATTAGCAAAATTATCACCACATGGCATTGGGATACTAGATGTATCAATAGAAGTAGTAGGAAAAGCTGTAATAACCAAGAAAAGACTTTAATACTTTAAAAACCATACTTTATTTAAATCAACCAATGTCAATTTAATATTACATTCTAATCTTCCTGTGGGTAGAGGTTGCATCATGCATAGAATTCACTAATTCTTTAATAATAAAACTAATAAATAAAATATCAAGAATAAAAAATATTCACGCCTAAGGGCCTAGAATAAAATCCATTCTTAATATCAATTTATTATCTTATTTCAATTAAATCATAAAAATAGCAACCTCCCTATAGGGCCAATTCATTATTTTTATAAAATGATTACAAATTAAGCTATGTACTTTATGAGCATATTAATTTAATAAAATTTAATGTGATCATCAAAATAACTTAAGATGATGTGGCTATTCCTAAGTCAATTGACATCACCATTTCAACATAGCATGTTTTAATATCAACTCATAACTCTCTGTTGACATATCAAAATAATATTATAAATCATTTCATTATTTATTTATTATTATATTTAGCAATTTTTTTGCTTATAATTTACGCTAACAAAGCCTATAATATATGTGTAAAAATAAAAATAAAAATAAAAAATTATTTGCAAGCAAACAATTGAGTCTAGAAAAAATAAAAATTGTATATGCATAATTATTCCGAAGTCGACAAATGTTAGCACCTAATTTTTGCTCCCCTTTATTTATTTATTTATTTTTATTGTTACAAAAATACCAAAAATAAAACAAACAAAAAATGAAAAAAAAGTGGAAAAAGAAAAAAAATAGTTAGGACAATTAGTTTAGGTTAATTAAAAAAAAAGAAAACGAGAGAAAAAGAAGGAGAGAGGGGTTAATTGAAGAAATGAAAACTTTAGAGGTGATAAAAAGTGCAATTGAAGTTCAATGAAAAAAAAATCAACACTCTTGTCCTTTAATTAAAACAATAAGGGGGCATAATTGAAGAAAAATTAAAGAAAAAGTCTAAATTAATTGGGATTCAAGAGGGCTCATTGAAGATAAAAATCAAGATTGAATTTGAATTAGTGTATAAGAAGAAACCGAGGACTAACACGATATTTGGCCCAAAAACCTACATATAAAACCACCCCATGTATTTCAATATACTAGACACTATTCATCACCACCCACAAAGAGATTGACAACCGCCATCCAAGAGAAAATCAAGTTCTTTCTCTCACCTAAGCCTTTACACGCGCATAGGTCGCGGCGAACCCTCTCGCCCAAGCCTTCTCCTTCTTACTAATAGCCTACCCGCCACGTACCAAGCCTCCATCGGCCACACGCCCACAACCCCCACGCCTTCCCTCTCCTTCTCGCATAGGCCTCGTGCGGTAACTCCATAACGACCCCTCATCCGCAGCTAAGCACTCTACACCAAACTCCCAAAAACCCATAGCTTACCTTTACTCCTCACGCATCACCTCACCATCCCCTCTCTCTCGCACTCCCCAAGCTTGACATTCTTGCGCATGCGCCGGCTACGCTACGACGGCTCATCCACACATAGCACGCTACAAGCACCTATTAGTCTCTCTCTCTCACCCACACACGCCCACCGCCCTCTCTCCCACGCCATTCCAACCCTACATCACATGCACCGCCTCCACGACTCTCTCTCTCTCGCCCACACCATCATCTACACCTCCATAATCGGCCTCCTTAAACTTAACAACAAACCCTCATTCTAGCCCACAACAAAGCCCCAAAGTTTCCAAAAAAAAAGAGCCCCAAAACGAACCTAAAACCCATTAAAAAACTCAAAAATAGCACTACAACTATTACCAATAACCCCCCAAAACCCTTACGAGCAACCCTTTCGATAGCCCCTTTAAACCACTAACAAATCCTTAAAAAACCCCTTAAACCAGCTTCAAGATAACCCTAATAAACCCCCAAAAAAAGTCCCAAAAATACCAAAAAATCGGACCTAAAACAAGACCAACAAGCGACCATTACAACCCCGAAACAGATCACCAACAACCCCCAAAAATAGTTGTAGAAAAGCCCTTTTGGACGACTCATTTAAGTCACCAAAGTAACCTAAAAAACTCCCCCAAACTAGCTTCAAAACCATCCAAAACACCCACCAAAACAGACCATAAAATCTCCCCGAAAACGACCCATTGGACACTTTTTTTGAAGTTATTGAAAAAGAAGAAATAAATATTATTATACAAAAAAAAGCTAAAAAGATTTTCTTATATTGGATTGTTGGCAGCCACAACATGATGTTGTAGGTTGCATTTGGTTGATTCTTTTTTACGGAAAAATAAGTAACAAAAGATACCTTGGGCTTTCGGGAACTCTGTAAATTTTACGGTAACTTTGGAAATGTTCACCCAAGTTACGAAGGAGTTTTTGGTTACTCTAGTGGCACTCACACCCCACATTCTTAACCAGCCGTTATCCTCCTTTTTCGACTAATTGAATATTCGATTATCATCGAGAATGAAAAGGGTAGGATCGACTCTAAATCGAACATCGACACTTCAAAACTTTTTGGGTAAAATCTTAAAACATGACATTTTTGAAAGCGTGATACATGTTTAAAAATGATCTGTGTGCTTTGTAATATGGTTAAAACTATGATAGTTGGCATAAAATTTATTAAATAAATGTGGTAAAAATGAAACATTACTGCAAAGATCATTAAGGAACAATATGCCACGTTTTCCTATTATTATGCGTGTATGTCCAAAAATAAAGTTTGTCTCAATTTTTGTGCTTTAATTGACTTTCAATGATTGTTTGCAATGCTACAATAAAGTCGTCAATGGTTTCAAAACCATTTTGCCTAGTGTCTAATCCTCGTTTTTCTCGATTTTTGTTTTTTATTTCTTGATTTTTGTTTTCCATGTCTTATTGCCTATTTTATCAAAACAAAGTCGTCGAAGCTTTCCACTTATGTGATGGAGTCACCGGTGACTTTAAAAATAATTTTTCCATTTGATGCTCGTTTGTTTGAAACAAGTCGTTAGTGGCTTTCCACTTATGTGACGAGGCCGTCGATAGCTTCTAAATAGTTATCTCGCTCTTCATTGGAGCGACATGAAGTTGTCAATGACTTTCCACTTCGTTACAAAGTTATGATAGCTTTTTAAACGTGTGATCTAAAGTCATCGGTGGCTTCCCACTTATGTTAGCGAAGTTGTTGGGGACTCGTAGCTTATGCCAATAAAAGGCTATTTATCTTTAGAAACTTACCATTGTTAATAATAGGTCGTGTTCGCTAATGACTAGCCAAAATTCTAATTTTTTACCTTTTTCCTATTTGGGTAGGACGTATTGGCCTTGGATCGGCTCGAACGTCTAAACTATCCCGTTTTATACCCAAACCATCCTATCCCATATTTTACAAAATAAACTCATTTAAATAGACATAGAAGCATAAAATGATAAAAGTTATATTTTTTATATTCATAGATAAACAATACAACCTACCTTAGGTAGGACGAGATGGTGGTGACAATATGTCTTCCCCATACGTAACCGACCCTTTATCCGGATATCCACGAAGACCGGTATGTTTATGGTTTCTTATTTTTCTCGATTAGCTAGGTGGCATCTCCTTTATTTCGCCCCCTCCCCTTGCAATGGCCGACGTCGACATAATTGGCAACTTCATTGGGGATTTGCCATGCTAGGATTAAGCTTCGAATGTCTATGTTTTGAATCTCCGATCATTTGTTATGCCTCTATGCCTATTTTTTAGTAAGTTATTGCCATTTATTTATTTGTCCGTTTTTCTTTTTTGTGGCAAAAATATATCTATATGTATATGTGTTGTTTGTGTTATTTTTTCTTGCAGCTTTGGTTGTTTAGTTTCTAGCCTTTTAGTTGGTGTTTTTGAGATTGGATGGGCGATCATGCCCCCACACACTACACCGTATAATTTTAACTATTATTTGTATTTGCCTCGGGATTTAGGGAGTTAGTAGTGGTGCCCGATGGGTTTTGCCCCGATAAACACTCATGAAACATCAAGCCTTATTGCTAGCTACCATCGGTGATGGGTAATCGATGATTTTTCACGATTGTTAATGTCACTATAGTCGATCCTATTGATTCTACTAAAGATTCATTGGGCTAAAAGGTGCCCTTTCGAGACTTAGATAGAGCCTATCCCTTCATGTAATGGCTAGAACCGGACTCTAGGACCATCTCTTCTTGTTTAAATACACTAGGCAAGTCGGATATGTTTGAAGCCTTGACTAAAATAATTTGGTTATGATGTTTCAATATGAGTGATAAAAGAGTTCAAACTCAATTCAAACAAGCATTAGTCGAGCATGGAAAGGTTACCGATGTGAATAATCATATCATTAAACCTATTATAAGCAATCTCGTGGGTGAAGAAACAAAAGAAGGAACTCTTTTGTCACCCTCCATAGATGACTACTCCATATCCAATCGAGTGTATTTATTTTATGTCAATATTATTTATGTGGTTGTATTTTGCTATTTACCCGAAGAAGCATAAGTCATTATGTTAAAACTATGTTTTCCTTATAAGAGTTGACAACTCATATCGGCGTAAGAACAAACAATGAAGAAAGGTTTGAACTTGAACAAAGCCATCGGATAGAGTTAAGTGCTTCAATAACGAAGTGTCCAAGCTAGTTGCTTCACTTAGGCAAAGCTCGTAAACTCGTGCATCTACTCGAAGTGCCTCCTAGTCGGAAATGGATCAACCATCCGTTATCCCCAAGGTCTTCAATGCCATACCAATATCCACTTATTTGAGTGGCAATTTCGTGCCACCCTTCTCTACTCCCTACTAAGAGGTCATCGGTATTTTGAATCTAACTAGCCACATCGCACTTGGGGGCATGTATAAGTCGGCCCATCCCGAAGTCTCTTGTTCAATTCTATGGTAGCCACATACTTTGCAAACTCAATCAACTCTTATGGTTGATTTGGTCGTTAATGAAAACTTGAAAGGAAAAATGAGCTCGGAGATTGAAGCCGAGAACCTTAGTGCCATTGAGAAATGTCTCATAAGCGTGTAAGTGCGTGGACATGTGTGACCCTCTTTTGATAATAAGCGGACACTCGACCCTAAATATCATGATTCCCGAGAAATTCAAAGTGCCGAACTCTTCAAGTACATTGTGCATGGCTGATCCTTTTAAATTTGGTTTAAAGAAGAACAACTTTGGTAAAAGGTTTAAATCTAGGTCAAAGAAGAACCACTTTGATAAAAAGAGATGACAACAATGTCCATCGATTAAGGAATTCGCTTTCAATCTAAACGACTAGTCGGTTGAATCATTCTCATATTTTAAAGACTTTTCCTTAGATGACATTAAGTGTGACAAAAAAAAGACATTTATGAAATTTGCACGTCCTATTTGTTTGACTTGTTATATGTTATCAACATTAACAAGTAACCAATCAAGTCTCAAGCTCCTATTCATGTTAAGTCCTTCTATAAGTTTCACAAAGAGAGAGGACATGATGTTGATAATTGCCTTGAATTTCATTAAGAGGTACAAGCCATGCTAGTTTAAGGCTCCTCGAGGGTAGAAAAAGAGGAAAAGAAATCGAAAAGTCTTCATACATTCATTGATTTGCATAGTAAAGACCTAAGTTTGAGTTAACCATCACATGATATGGTAGTGAACATTTTGAGGGTAGATAAAGCCAATGTTAAAACCAAGTCATACGATCCGAGTTAGTGATTGATAGTTCGAAATGATGGTGCTTTCGCCAACACATTTAAGAATGTTCTTGATGTCGATCGACTTATCTTTGAACCAAGAGGAAGGAATTGAATGACTAGTCCGATAAAGAAGATCCTTTTTTTTTCAATGCTAAGTAACTTCCTTATTGTATTTATCTATCATGCTTTCATATGATATCAATTTGCGGGATCGTGCAAATTTTCTTCTCAAACTGCTACCTTTGCCTTCTTTTTTTCTATTGTGTTTTATTCTCCTTTTTACCTTACTTTCGGGACATTCAATAAGATCATATCTCAAAAATAAAAACATCAAGTGATTGCGTAAAAAAAAAAAAAAATTAATGGCCATCATGACTCGATTATAATGTGCATGAGAATGTATGTGAGGAGGACAACCAAATCTTGATAGATAAGCTTGAGTGTCTTGATTTTGTGAATGAAATCTTACCTTATTTTGAATTTTTGAATTTCATTTTGGAAAAGTGTTATAAGTTTCATGGATTGGGTCATTTCTTTGAAATAAATTCATAATATCTTGGCATGGTCTTATTATGGATTTGAAATCAAGAGATGTTTATTTAAAAGTATCATTGTCATTTTATGTCATCCAAATCAAAGCGAATAAAATGGCAAACTCATTCAAAATCTTTCAACGAGTGATCAACTTTAAAAAATGTCGTGCAAATGCTTGGGGGCCGTCCCTTTCTTCTTAAAACCAAAAACTATTCCTCTCCTATTCCCGATAAATGCTTCCTAAACAATTATGCCTAAAATGATACATAAAAAAACCAAAAAAAAACCAAAAAAATGATTTGATGTCTTAAATGATGATGAGTGGTACATATTTGAGTCATGATCCCACCTTATGGTCCTTCTTCTCTAGATGTCAATCATATTGTCAAATGAAGTTAGAGCTTATCAACTCGAACAAGATCATATTTGAGATGAAGAAAGGCTATTTTTTATATACTCTTTCACAAATAAAAACTTATCCAAGTCTTATCCAACTTTGAGCCTAAAAGATTTCTTTCGATAATAACCTAGACTAGGATCGCCCCTCACACTGGGGGTAATTTTAAAGTTTGTTAGTAATCAAGGACGTTCTCTTAGAAAAACAAGATGACAACCGATGATGATTATTCACAAAAAAAACTTGTCGAGAAAATACTAGAATGACTATGAAAAAAAAACAAAAGGGAGAAAATGAAAAAAAAAGTGAAAGTACTAAGACAAAATGTGCTATCTATAATGATCCCTCTCGTAACTTGGATTTAGAAATGCCGAGTCGAAATCATAAAACCAAAAAAAAAATGATGAATGATAAGAGTGAACATGAAAGGAGAGCCGAGATTCGAAGATGAGATCAATTGGCAAGATTACAAAGTCAAGGCGATATGCCTAAAGCGATCTTGATGAACAACTAAGTGATCCTAGGTCTTTACACCCTCAAACACCTTTTGAGCATTTCATATCCTTTCATTCCTAAGCTAAAGCCAAAGCCTTCATTACGTGCCTATGAAAGCCCTTTTTGATCAAAGATGACTTATTTGAGCTGATAAGTTCTAGTTTCAAATGAGGAGAAGAAAAAATGTTTTTGAATAAAACTTGATTTGTTTATGCATCACAAACCATCATTTATGACATTGAGTCATAAATTTTCATCGAATAATCGGGGCAAGAAAGAAATAAATTGAGTCTTTTTAGGCAAGATAGCCAATTTGAGCCAAACTTTCTTCAAAAACTCTTTTACTTCTTGAAATTAATCGAGCACACCTATGCTTTAAGACCAAAATTTTGTCAATCGTCCGTCGAAGAGACCAATCCTTTTCAAAATTCTTATGATCCAAACACATTTTGCTCATCTTAGCCTCAAAATAGCTCACCATGAGACTTACATCTCGACATTACTCAATGCATTTTATCTATTGCCCAAATAAGTCAAACACCTTTCCGAATGAGATTACCTTCTTATGTCATCTCAATGATTTCTTTTGAATAATTTAACTTATCTTGATGGAAAATTTTCAAACAGATGACCTAATCCATGAAAATCAAAATAAATGCAAATGATTTTTGAAAAATTAAAAAAAAAGAAGTCACTCAAAGACAAGTTCACAAAATCAAGCGCGAAGCATCGAAAAAGAACAACAACATGAGCAACAACAATGAAAGGTATATGAAAAATGGATAATCTCTACCAATGCTTCGGAACCATACTATGTCGGACTTGTCGAAATATGTGTCAGCATGAAAAAACCAAAACATTTCAACTTCTCTCATATCCGGAACAATAAGGAGATAATATGAGTTATGGCTAAATATTCACTAGCGCGATCATTTGACTTTGCTTCTATTATTCTTGACTTGCATAACATGATCCGATTCATGACCTTTTGCCTTTCAAAAAACCCTTGTTTTCATAAGTATGATCGATCTCTTAAAAGAAAAACCCCTTCTTTGGTCTCATAAACGATCTTGTAATCGATGTCATTCATGAAATATGATAATGCATTGAATTGACATATGATAACTTGATAAAGATCTTACTTGGACTTAGTCTATAAGAGGTCGACCTCTATGAAATCGTTACAAGCTTTCTCATGACGAACTATAAACGAGTTGAGATAAAGGCCATTTGAACCATTTTGGGCCAAACACTTGATATGTGGTTGCAAAAGCTTAAATATTTAGGACATCACCAAGGGGCATCTAATAACGGTGATCACTGTTCGAGCGGAGGAACGAACACCACTCAAATGACACGGACAATAGTCCAAGCAGCAATCCTTAATGAATACAAGAACATGGGGCATAATCGGAGATACGAGTGGATAATCTCAATGAAAGCAGTTGGCCTAGAATTGTGAGCCAATTCAACCTAGATGACACATAAATGAAGAAAAATGGGAAAACCTATGTTTTGGCGACAGCGACCTATGCTTCTCCGAAAACTTCATGTTAGTTTAAGTTAAAGTGGTTTGTCACGTCTTGTTAAAAAAATAGTTTATCATACCTTTCCAAACCAATGCGATCCGTCATACAAGTTTAAGTCAAAATGGTCAGTCATATTGTGTCAAAAAGTTTGGTCCCTCACGTCAATTAAAACCAATGTGATCTATCATGTCATTCTAAATAAAAATAATCTGTCATGTCTTTCTAAAACCAATATGGTATGTCACGTCGGTCTAAGTCGGAATGATCGATCATATCTTGTCAAAAAATGTGGTCTCGCCACTTCGGTTTAGGTCGAATGGTGAGTCATATCTTGTCAAAACATGCGGTCCGTCACGTCGATTAAAACCAACGTGGTCTCGTCACGTCATTTTAAATAAATATGGTTTCTATATCCTTCTAAGTCGGTGTGTTACGTCATACCCTTCCAAATTGATATGCTCTATCACGTCCTATAAAGTCAACGTGGTTTGTCACGTCCTCCCAAATAGACATGGTATGTCATGTCCTATAAAGTCAAAGCAGTTTTCTTACAAGGTCAAAGTGTTTGTCACATCTTGTAAAGTCGGTGCGATCGGTCATACCCCTTCAAATCAATGTGGTCGATCACGTCTTTCTAAATCAATGTGATTAGTCATGTTTCCTTTCTAACGTGGTCGGTCGCGTCCCTTTAAATCAATATGGTTAATCACATTTCTTTCTAATTAGACATGGTTGATCGTGTCCCTACAAAATCGATATGTTTGATCACATCCTTTCAAATATACTTGGATAGTCATGTTTTCTTTTAATTTGACATGGTTAGTCATGTCCCTCTAAGCTAGTGCAATTAGTCATACTCCTTCAAATCAATGTGATCACTCACATTTTTTTTAATTTGACATGGTCGATCATGTCCCTCTAAGTCGATGCGGTCGGTCATGCTCTTTAAAATCAACGTGGTCGATCACATTTCCTATTTCACATGATCGATCATATCCCTATAGGTCAGCGCGATCGGTCGTGCTCCTTGAAATCAACGTGGTTAGTCACGTTTTCTTTTAACTTGACATGATCAATCATGTCCTTCTAAGTCGGCGTGGTCGGTCGCGCCTCCCCGAAGTTAACATGGTCGATCACGTTTTCTTTTAATTTGACATGATCAGTCATGTCCCTTTAGGTCGGTATGATCGGTCGCGCCCTCTTCAAATCTACATGGTCGATCACGTTTTCTTTTTATTTTGACATAGTCGGCCATATCCCTCTAAGTCAGCAAGATCAATTGTGCTTCTTCAAATCAATGTGGTCGATCACGTTCTCTTATCAAATTAACATGGTCAATCATGTCCCTTTAGGTCGGCGTGGTCGGTCATGCCCTTTCAAATCAACGTGGCCGATCACGTTTTTTACCAAATTGACATGGTCGATCATGTCCCTTTAGGTCGGTATGGTCGATTACGTTTCTTCAAATCAACATGGTCGATCACGTTTTCTTACTAAATTGATATGGTCGATCATGTCCCGACAGAATCAATATGGTCGGTCACATCTTTTCAAATCAACGTGGTCGGTCGCATCCCTTCAAATTAACGTGGTCGATCACCTTCTCTTTACGGCATAGTCGATCATGTCTCACAAAATCGAGCACGATCGATCATGTCATTTCAAATTAACATGATTAGTCATGTTTTATTTTTGACATGGTCGGTCATATCTTATAGAGTCGGTGCGATCGATCACATCCTCTCAAATCATCGTGGTCGGTTATGTTTTCTTTTGACATAGCCAATTATGTTTTACAAAGTCGAGGTAGTTAGATGCACTCTCTCAAATCGGCGTGGTTAGTCACGTTCTCTTTTGACGTGGTCGGTCATGTCTTACAAAGTTAGCGTGGTCGATCACGTATTTTTAAATCAACATGGTTAGTCATGTTTTCTTTCGATATGGTCGATCATGTCTTTCAAATCTTTTTGCTATTTCTTTACAAGCTTACTAAGTAAAGTCAAAGAAAATATTTTTAATGACTTTACGTTGTAAGCACTGTAAAAAGGAGGTAATTGTTAGCACCTAATTTTTGCTCCCTTTATTTATTTATTTATTTATTTATTTATTTTTATTGTTAAAAAAATACCAAAAATAAAACAAAAAAAATAAAAAACAAAAAACAAAAAATGAAAAAAAATGGAAAAAGAAAAAAATTAGTTTAGGTTAATTAAAAAAAAAGAGAAAAGACAAAAAGAAAGAAGGAGGGAGTTAATTGAAGAAATGAAAAGTCTAGAGGTGATAAAAAGTGCAATTGAGGTTCAATGAAAACAAATCAAAACTCTTGTCCTTTAATTAAAACAACAATGGGGCATAATTGAAGAAAAATTAAAGGAAAAATCCCAATTAATTGGGATTCAAGAGGGCTCATTGAAGAGAAAAATAAAGATTGCATTTGAATTAGTGCATGGGAAGAAACCAAGGACTAAAACGAGATTTGGCCCAAAAACCTACATATAAAACCAACCGATGCATTTCTTTATACCGGACACTATTCATCGGCACCAACAAAGAGATTGTCAGCCGTCATCTAAGAGAAAATCAAGTTCTCTCTCTCACTTAAGCCTCAATACGCCCATAGCCCGCAGATGAACCTTCTCGCCCAAGCCTTCTCCTTTTCACCAATAGCCTACTTGCCACGCATCGAGCCTCCATCGCCCACAAGCCTACGACCTTCATGCCTTCCCTATCTTTCTCGCCCACACCTCGTGCACCAGCTCCATAACAACCCCCTCACCTATAGCTAAGCATTACTACACCAAACTCCCAAAAACCTATAGCTCACCTCTACTCCTCATGCATCACCTCGCCGACCCCTCTTTCTTACGTGCCTTATGGTAACTCTTTATGCTCGCGCACCGGCTCCGCCGTAGTATGTCACCTACATATAGCACGCTACAAGCACCCGTCGACCTCTCCCTCTCACCCATACACGCCCACTGCCCTCTCTCCCGTGCCATTCCGACTCTACATCACACGCACAGACCTCCACGACTCTCTTCTTCTCGCCTACACGATCATTTAAGCCTTCACAACTAGCCCCCTTAAACTCAGCAATAAACCCCCATTCCAGCCCATAACAAAGCCCCAAAGTATCCCGGAAAATAAAGCCCCAAAACAAACCTAAAACCCACTAAAAAATCTCAAAAATCAGCCCCGCAACTATTACCAATAACCCCAAAAACTCTTACAGAGCAACCCATTTTGGCATCCCATTTAAACCACTAAAGAATCCCCAAAAATACCCTTAAACCAGATTCAAGATAGCCTTAAAGAAACCCCTAAAAAACTTCCCAAAAATACCCAAAAAAGCTACAAACAAGCGACCATTACTGACCACGAAATAGTCACCAACGACCCTCAAAGACACTTGCAGAGAAGCCCTTTTGGATAGCCCATTTAAGTCACCAAAGTAGCCTAAAAAACACCCCTAAACCAGCTTCAAAACCATCCAAAACACCCACCTAAATAGCCACAAACCTCCCTCAAAACGATCACTTTGGACACTTTTTTTGGAGTTATTGAAAAGGAAGAAATAAAAATTATTATAAAAAAAGCTAAAAAGATTTTCTTGTGTTGGATTGTTGGCAGCCACAACATGACGTTATAGGTTGCATTTGGTTGATTCTTTTTGATAGGAAAATAAGCAACAAAAGCTACCTTGGGCTTTCAAGAACTCGTAAATTTTACGGTAATTTTGGTGTGTTCATCCGAGCAACGAAGGAGTTTTTGGTTACTCTAATGGCACTCACGCCCCACATTTTTTGCTAGCGAGTTACCCTCCTTTTTTGACTAATCGAATATTCGATTATCATCGAGAATGAAGAGGGTAGGATCGACTCTAAATCTAACATCGACACTTCAAAACTTTTTGGGTAAAATCTTAAAACATGACATTTCGAAAGCTTGATAAATGTTTGAAAATGATCTGTGTGCTTTGTAATGTGGTTAAAACTCGTGATAGTTGGCATAACATTTATTAAATAAATGTGGTGAAAATGAAACATTATTACAAAGATCATTAAGGAACAATATGCCACGTTTTCCCGTTATTATGCCTATTTGTCCAAAAATAAAGTTTGTCTCAATTTTTGTGCTTCAATTGACTTTTCATAATTATTTGCAATGCTACAATAAAGTCGTCGGTGGTTTCAAAACCATTTTTCCCGGTGTCTAATCCTCGTTTTTCCCGATTTTTGTTTATTGTTTCTCGATTTTTGTTTTCCATGTCTTATTGCCTATTTCATCGAAACAAAAATGCCGAAGGTTTCCACTTATGTGATGAAGTCGTCGGTGGCTTTGAAAATATTTTTTCCATTTGATGCTCGTTTGTTTGAAACAAAGTCGTTAGTGACTTTCCATTTATGTGACGAAGCCGCCGGTGGCTTCTAAATAGTTATCTCGCTCCTTATTAGAGCAACATGAAGTCATCGGTGACTTTCCACTTCGTGATGAAGTTATGATAGCTTCTTAAACGCGTGATCCGAAGTCGTCGGTGGCTTCCTACTTGTATGAGCGAAGTCGCCGGTGACTCGCAACTCATGCAATAAAAGGATATTTATCTTTAGAAACTTGCCTATTGTTAATAATAGGTCGTGTTTGCTAATGACTAGTCAAAATTCTAATTTTTTTACCTTTTTCTCATTTGGGTAGGATGTCTTGGCTTTGGACCGACTCGAACGTCCAAACTATCCCGTTTTATACCCAAACAATCTTGTCCCATATTTTATAAAATAAACTCATTTAAAAAGAAATAGAAGCATAACATGATAAAAGCTATATTTTTTATATTTATAGACAAACAATACAGACTTACCTTAGATAGGACGGGATGGTGATGACGACATGTCTTCCTCATACATAACCGAACCCTTATCCGGATATCCATGTAGACCGGTATGTTTAGGGTTTCCTAGTTTTTCTCAATTAGCTAGGTGGCGACTCCTTTATTTCGATCCCCTCATCTCGCGAGTGGCCGACGTTGATAATAAATATGCATCATATAGACTTCTTTCGGATAATAACCCACCTTGACATCTTTTAGTTTTTATATTCTAAGAAAGTACCGGAAGTTGGGTGAAAACGACTAGATCTTGGAAAGAGTCCAAGTTGAATTGTAAACTTCCTAGCAATCTTCAATATATATATATATATATAAACACTACTCATAACTTAGGCCAAATTTGATTTGAAGATTTCAATTAAATAACCTTACCATGATATACGATTTTTTCGTAAAAATCATAGTATATCCTTAATAAATATAGTTAATAGATTCCTATTAGCACTAATCAATATAGCAAGAAGGAGGTTCTGATACCATATCTAAGATAACTAAATATGCCTAAGCATACAAGCACGAACGAAAATTGATAGAATACATACCTCCCGCCATAATTGATTAAGTGCTTAAAATGTTGCCGAAAGAAAGCTCGGAGTCGTCAAGGAAAGAGAGCCTTCTAGTTTATGCTAATACTTTTAGGGTTTTATGTATCAATAAAAAACACAAGCTTTACTTACTATTTATATGGCTAGATCGGGGACTCTTCCTTTAACCTTATTTTGCACTTCTATTCATCATAGATCCGCCTAGCCCACCACTAAATTCCATTAGGCTTTAAGTCTTTAAATTGTCACTTATAGATTTAAAACAAAACATGACACATAGGCCACACTATAGGAATATTTCTCATAAAAAAATTAAAAGAAAAGAAAGAAAAGTAATTTGGATGATGATGACTTATATTTTTGCAAAGATAGTAAGATACAATTTATGAGTCATACATGTATAGCAAATGGCGTGATTTTTATTTATAGTTTTGTTATAAGATCCATGAGTGGGTACAAGTCATCTTGAAAAAGAAACAATTAGAACAAGTCGCCTTGAAAACAAGCCATATGGATAAGCATCTTGAAAAAAGACCGAGTATAGAAGAAATCCTTTTTACCATACGAAGTTTTTTTTTCCTTTACAAAGCTCTCTATACAAAGTCAAAGAATAACACTTTTTAATGACTTTATGATGAAAAAACTATAAAGAGGAGGCAATTGTCAACACCTAAATTCAAGCGTATTTATTTTTGTAAATTATACCCAAAAAATGAAAAAAATAATAAATTGTCAAAATTGAACATTTTTCTTAATTCACTTGACTTTTGCACGATCTTTACTTTTAAATCTTTAGGAATTTCATAATTTTTTTAATTTTAAACAAAAAAACAAAAAAAGGATAAATAAAAAAGATTGGATTTGGATCTAATTAAAAAATATAAGAAATTAGGACTAAAAATTTCAATTAGAGGGTGTGTCTATAGAGAAAATAAAGACATAGTGTTCGTAACTAAGAAAAGAGGAGAAAGGGAAAATAAAATTAGGTTTTTAACTAAAATCCTAAAAAATCCACTATAAAAGCCACACTTCATTTCTCAAGAGAGGGGCTATCATTTTTTTCACACCAAAAATCTTGAAACAATTATCCTCTCTAAAATGACCAAAATCCTTTAAGTTCATCCATCATCATCTTTCATATCCATCATCTTCTATACTCATGATCCAAAACACAACACCTACTATCTTAGCCTCCATAGATGTTGACCATAACTCCTAAAAAGCCCTTATAGCCATCGTCCATAACTCCAAACAACCCTCAAACTCACCAACAATAGCTCTACAGCGACCACAAATCATCGATCATTAACTCCAAACAGACCATAAACTCATCGATCATCAACTCCAAGCCAACCATACTTCCTAAAAAGCCTACGGAACTACTATTCGTAACTCCAAAAGGTCATCAAAATCATTGATCATAGCTCCAAATAGCTACATACATATTGATCATTAACTTTAAGTACCCACAAACCCGCTGGTCATAACTCTATATCTCTAAGCCTACTAACTCTAAATAATCTCTATCGCCATCGATTATTAGCTCCAAAAACCATCAACTCATCCTTCAATAGCTTTAAAATAGCCTTAAAATTCATTTTCTATAGCTCCAAAACTTGATAGCTATAATAACCCAAAAACACATATAACTCGCTAGCCATAACAACCCAAACTTACCGGTCAAAGCCCAATAGCATCGAAACCATCTTTATCAAAATTTTATCAAACCTTAAAACCCAAAATCATCTTAAATCATAAGTCTAAATTTTAATTAAGGTAAGATGGTGATGATTTTGGTCAATGATTAGTGGATTTTCCTAAAATACCATTTAAACTCTTAATCCATATTTGATAAACTAAGCCAAAGAGGAGGAGAGAGAGAGAAGAATCTTGAATTATTGGTGTTAACCTTTCCTTTTTACCTAATAATATTGTTTTCACTTCATTACGGGGTTGAAGAAGGTTGCACCATCTTTTCCCCACTTTTTGAAGCTTGTTCGAGTAATCAAAAGTGATTCTAGTAACTTTTGATACAAAACTACCATTGAAGGTAGATTCATCATTTGGCTTAAAAAATGGTTTTGACATTCTTAGGAGAGAGTATTGATCATTTTGATTGATCGGGTAAGTTTTAGTCATAGTCACATTGTTTTTATATTTTTTAGGTTCAAAATATGTATGGATGAATGTTGTGAATGAATATGATGTTCTTGGATTAAATATGATATTTGAAGTGTGATTAAGATACATTATTGCATATCGAACACGAAAGGATCAAGGATCTTGGGTATTTTAAGAAAAAATAAGATTGGTGTCAATACTCTATGATGGAGTTGGGAGGACTAGAAATGGTTTTGATTCTAATGATTTATCCAAAGCGAGTGCTAGTCCCAATGTGCGTAATTAAGCATGATCATTTTGGCTTGTGATATGATTAATTCGAATACAATGTTTATGTTGAATTACTTGCATGGTATGGCTATTGAATACGGTATTCATGATGTGTTATTTATGTAATTATTTGAATTAAACGTAAGGTGCG